CCCCCCCCCCCCCCCTCCCCCCTTCCGATATTTTAATCCCGAGTTCCCCTTGGCATGCACTGCATGGATTGAACATTCGCACATACAACTTGACGAAACCTTCAGTTGAATAATCCGGATTCAAAATTGTTTTGCTCAAAGGCCATGGCTTAGGGCAGTCCAACTGGAATGTTGCAATTTATCTTGGTTGACAATGCGTTGACGCAGACAATTTGTTCAAAAAGAGAGAATGAACCATGCTTGGATTCCCACGGTTCAATTCTAAAATTTTGTTTTTCCTTCAGCGCCATTTGACCAGCGTTTCGATTGGAGCGCATTATATGAGCGCACGCATCCGAGATCGCCGACGCAATCTGGCTGAAATGCAACCTCGCACAACTTGCAGTTATGCCGCTTCAGCTCTTCCTTTTCATGTCTGCCGCCAAATCCGAAATCGTTACACCCGGGATATATGTGCTGCCATGCGTTATGTCACTGTGGCACTATCTTAAAGTGAATTCAAATCCAAGCGTCTCTGAAACGGGTGTTCCAACTCAAGAGTCATCAGCGCGAGATTCGATTACGACAGTACATATGTTGTACAGGTTCTGAGGACATGAAGGAAAGAAAATTGAGTTACACCGGTAAGGTAGGAATGAACCGTGGGGCGGCAGGGTGAGATTATATAGCGAGAGGTACCGTAAGATCGAATATTATGTGTGGGTGTATCCGTAAGGGTATCATAAAGTTCCGAGAAGAGGATGGCGCGTATTATAGAACCTTCCATTGTAAGGAGTTGGGACTGCAGAGCGAAGGATCAACGAGGATTCAGAGAAAGTAGAAATGAGGTCTGACCTAGCTTGAATGATGACAGTGCGGACGACGCGAGGGTGACGCGGTAACCGGCAGAACAAGTCAAGCTGTCAGAAATTAGGTTCATTGTCTATATTCAAAGGAGATGGCGCACCCTGGAAGAGCTAGACCTTGAATGCCTCGGGGGTGTCGAGAACCTGGATCACGGTCAGCGAAAGCAAGAGCACTAAACGAGATACGACGAACAGAGGACGGATTGATGTCACTCTGATGATCCAGTTAGAATGCCGCTGAAGTACAACGGGATAACCAACATACAAGAAGCAGCGGGCCGAACGACCGTCTACAACGGGCTGGCGCGGGCGGGGTGATGCCGGCCTCCGGGACGGGCACTGGGTCCAACGCGGCCTGAAAGGATGCTCGATCAATTTACGAACATTACACAAGAAATCAGGGACGTACTAGCATGTCGTGCAGATCCACATGGAGGATGTCCTTGTGGTCCGCGGCGGGAGAATGTCTGGGGCGGAAGGTCGAGGGAGAGAGGGCACCCTAGATGGTCAACGGGGTGAGTGATTTAGACGCATCTCCGTAAAAGACAGCATACGGAAATGGGCGAGTCGTCTCGCTAATTTGCACTGATCAGCTATGTTCGGCGTATGAAATGAAAACATACCGTCAAAAACCCTGTCGCTCGCGGCGAGTCCCACGCGGGCGGATTCGGGTTCTTAAGCAGAACTGAATCAGACTGGATGCCACAGATTCAGAAAAGCAGAGGAAAACACCACACTTACCGGCATTGGTGGGGCGGGAGTTCTCTGAACCAGACAAACATTGGTTACGAATTGTAACTCTGTTCAAGCCGGCTCAACAAACAGGAAGAAAAAACAATCTGAGCACACACCAGCGAGTTTTTTGTCCCTTTGCCGTTCGGCCTTGCTAGGGTTAACGCGCTTGACATCCTTCGTGGCCTCGCTGCCGACGCAGGGATGGGTACGGGCAGAGTATTGGGGAAATGAATACTACGCACAACACCAAGTACGCCTCGCCGGCGACTCGGAGGAGAGGAGCGAAAAATGGACGTAGGATCTTCGTAACTTTCTCCGTGTTGCGGCTTTCGTGTAACCAAAGAATCCCAACGAGCGACAGAAACCCGGAATGGATACGACCAGTCGGGATATTTGCCACCAGCCGCTCGTCGATTTTGGCGACCAATCGTTCGAGGACGACCTGAGATTGGACTGCGGCTTGAACAGCCTGAAAACGCAACTCAATGATCCATACTTCATATCTCATTACCACAGGCCCTCACCGTGGCGTAGCCGGATGGTTTGTCCGCAAGGTCGTCGACGATCATCAGGAACACGGCCTGCGGCAGAACTGCAACACCTATATCGTAGTAGTGTTGCCTGTCTTGGGCAACCAGAGCGGCAAGCCTCGCGTTCTGCATCAAGGCGGGGTGAAAACACTTCGGCCACTCCCAGGGGTACAAGAGGAAATGCGGGAGCGGAGGGACACGGGCGGTCTCGAGCTCTGTGAGAAGGGTGTCGCGCAGCGCGTCGGTGATGGTAGGAGCCATGGAATGAAGATATAAGTGTAGGCCGGCGAGGATCGCGATGGAAAGAGAGAGAGAGAGTGCTGAGCACAGCCACAGACGCGCTTTGATCAGCAGTGCCTGCCTCAATTCAAAGTATGTACTTCATTCAAAGTTCATCGATTAATACAACACTGATAAATTACTTGAACAGGTATCGTAGAGGTAGATTAATCAAGTGCACTTAGTGCACTACATCGAGGAATATAATATTAATGTAGTCGAAAGAGAGGACTCGGACTGGATTAGGTGCACCGTGTACGCGGGCTCCTGCCATTCGCAGGAGTGAGGGGTAACCGACCCGGGGACGAGGTAAGAGTACGCGCGCGCTGGGGAAGGATAGGATAAGGCACGGGTACACACAGACGAGGAAGAATATCCTACGGACGGCGACTTGAAGTGTGCCTGCGCGGTGTTAAACTGCTCCCGTTAGCATAGAAGAGGGTGAGAGAAGAGGGACGGACCTCAAAAGCAGGAGCGAGGCCCGCGGAGCTAGCAGCACCATCAGTGAGCCCGAAAGACGGCTGCCGAATTCAAACTAAATATTCATAATCACGTCGGGAGGCTCACCTGTTTCGGGACTGCGACCTCGCGTCCGGCAGTAATCTTTGCTTGTCCCAACTTGTCCGAGGCGCGCGGGCTCTTGCCGTTCGTAGGAGCGAGGGGCAGCCGAACTGGGGACGAGCTAAGAGTACGCGCGCGCTGGGGAAGGCTAAGGCACGGGTATACACAGACGAGGAAGAATATCTTACCGACGGCGACTTGAAGTGTGCCTGCGCGGCGTTGAACTGCTCCCGTCAGCATAGAAGAGGGTGAGAGAAGAGAGACGGACCTCAAAAGCGGGAGCAAGGCCCCAGGAGCTGCCACTGGCGACATCGGTGAGCCCGAAAGACGGCTACCAAAGGTCAAAATAAATTCACATTCGGGTCGGGAAGCTCACCTGGTTTGGGACTGCAACCTCGGCATGACTCGGGGAGCGCTAGATGATGTTCGGTGGGTCGGATTGGAACGAGTATATATCCGACGCACGAATGTCTGGAGGGAATTAGAATGAGACCGAACATGGAGAAAGCAACACATACCAGTAGATACGGGTTTCGCAACGGACTGCCGTTCACAGCAGGGGAATTGGGCACAATCTTCAACACTGTGTGATTATGTATCAACCCATACGAATGGAAAACATACGGTCGGCTGGTGTGTCTGTTTCCCGGTGGTCAGCAGGAGCGATAACGAAGATGTGCAGCGTACCGAGGGGGAATCGCACAGGGATCCGTCGCTCGAGTCGCTATTGCTCGAAGCCGAATCCTCTGCGAGAGGCTGCGCGGGTCAGATTCCAACGCTTACGACTGGGCGAAATTAATGCTTACCCGAGGGACCGGTGGGCAAGTGTCTTGGGAAATTTGGACATTGACGATGAAGCGCAGGTCTGTGGCGAATGTTCAACAAACCCGAAGGAAAGCCCGCAAAGCACGCACCGGCAGCCCGAAGAGCTTCAGGGTGCACACTTGCGGCACTATTGGATGTAACCACGTTCCGATTCTCGCTGTGAGGGTGTTAGCATGGTAGAAGGAAGGACGCATATGGTACGCACAACGACAACCACGCGTCACCTGCGACTTCGAGAAGAGGCAGGAAGAACGGCTGCAGTTCCCGCGCTACCGACTCTGTGTTGCGAGCCCTGAGGGTCCAGAGAAGGCCAACAAACGTGAGGAACCCTCCGGCCGCACCCGTCGAGATCTGCTTGATGATGCGCGGGTCGACGGTCGCGGCCAGTCGTTTGAGGACCGCGTTCGCTTGGACAGCAGATCGAATATCCTAGGAATTTGCGTAAACAAAGGACACACGACATTCAGAGGGCCTTTACCAGCGCATAGCCTGCTGGTTTGCCGTGGATTGCATCCTCGCTCAAGAGAGTTGACTGTTGGAAGGCGGCCATTGGTTGGAAGGATATGACGATATTTACATGTTTCTCATGGCCCGTCGTGGTCGACCTCGGTCGTACCTCAGTGATGTATTTCGCATAGACGTGGTTCACAATAGTAACAATAGTAACAAGCAGTGCGGGAGGATGCCGACGCCAATCTTGAAGTAAAAATCGCGCTTTGTGGCGTACTCTAATTCTTCCGCCGGTTTGCCAATTATCGGCATCGTCGGTTCGAAACATTTGGGTAGTTGCGTTTCCTCGATAAACGGGAAAGTGCGAGGGAAAAGGTAGCGATGGGTGTTGAGGTACGTAAAGATGGCGAAGTTGACGGCGCCGGTCCTCGTTTTGGGCGGGGGATGCGCACGCGTGGCGTTGGAACTGCGGGTAACGCGCGATGAAGACATGAGTGTTAGGGGCAGAAGAGGTTTGACGGTGATGGACGCGACACCGCCACTGACGCGCACAAGCGAAGCGCATCTCCCTTGCTTCTTGAGCTCCATGGGGATTCAATTAAGCACTTTGCTTCCGTTCAACTCCAGCTCTCGATATTCGCATGAAAAATTAAACTAAAAGGTGTTGCAGTTTTGTTGACGCAGCCATATAGCCATACTTCCACCCTCGGAGGCGAGACCTAAGAGGCCTAAAGGCCTAATGGCCCATAGCTAACGCAGAACCCGTTCATTCTGCGCCACTATAGTCTAACAGTTACGAAGACGACTGCTTCTCCGATGGCGGACAGCAGAAGATGGAGGTTCGAATCCTCCTAGTGGCGCAATTACGGCTGCTGCATTCGTGCAGGTTGGACACACGTGGTATTCAGCTTGGTGCGATGGTGTGATCCCCCCCTATGTTTTTTTCCGACTCTACTATTTTCTCGGCAACAGCTCTCGTTCAAAACAAGAAGGATTTTGGTTGGTTGGTAAATGTTTAAAACAAGAGAATTGGAGTGCTGCTTGGATTTCTTCTTGTCCGTCGAATTGGCTTGAAGTTGAGAGACGTGTTGGACGTCCACACTTGCGTGACGAGGATAGCGAGGATGGTGAGAGTCCCCTTCAGACGGGTATGAACGAGCCCGTTTGAGGGTTCGAGTGGAGTTCCCAGTAGAATTTTGGGGAGTTCTCAGTTTGCGTTGGGGCGCCGGAGATGCAGTACCCAGAAGACGAAAAGGTCGACGTGCAACACTTTTCTGTGACTGGGTTCTGGCAGTGGTCAAGGTCCAGTGACTCCAGCCATCGTTCCGAGGGTGAAGGTGAAATTTTGAATCGTCGACAAACAGCAACTAACGCCCCGAATGACTGCTCGGAAGGACGATGGATTCCCACCATCCACACGAACCTCATGACTGCGAGGTTAAGCTCTTGCGATAAGAAATTGCAAGTGGGAGACTTTCCCAACGTTATTTGATGATCCGGCAAATAATACGCCGTAGCTGTTCATCGGAGGTATGCGTGGAGAACTTGACAGACAGATGAATTCCTAGGCTCGAAACCAGCCTATGTATGAAAGACGAGTATTGTCTATCGACACTTTTCATAGACAGACCGGCTCCGGTCTGATGAATTCCCTGATTCTTGGAGCTGAGTCTCAAGCCGGATAGAGTTGCCAGTTGCCGAATCTTCGACGATCATATGCGAAGTCAATACTTAGATGGCCAAGTCGCCCGGCAGCGAGCGCACACGGCGTACACAGCGCCGACGATCCACGGGGCCGGGTCTTCGCTCATCTCATGGGGTGGAAGGGTGAATACGGCCGGAAGGATTTCTGTGGACACCCTACGGAGGGGAGACAAGCTACCCTCGTCCTTCCTGATTTCGTCAGGTAAGGTTGAAGGAGTTCGTTGAGGGAGATCTGGAGTGGCATTTATTTGAAGAGCAACTTGGACGCCCGCAGAAACGATGAGTCAAGGTCCAAGGACTTCGGTTTCACCGGCAGGAACAAAATTAATATTGAATTGATTTCCAGCATGCAACGCGCGAGGCTTGCTTGGGGCTGGTAGTTTCGGATCCGGGTCTTTGTTGAGGACGGTGAAGCAGCCAATGGACAGATTGGTTCAGGACAAGGGTTTGTTCCTGTTATGCGTGGAGGGCTTTATCTTGTTTGCCACTGTTGCTCGGCCCCGTTCCACTGCTTGACTCCAACGCCCATCTCGCCATGGCCTCCGAAGCGCAAATCAAGAGCGAAATCGCAAGACTCACCGGTATATACCATAGCAATACATCGTAATCGTCGTACTGACTTTCCCTAGCCTCCATCAGCCAGCACAAATCGAAATCCGCAACAGCAAATTCTACGCGCTACCAACCACCCCGAAGCAGCACCTACGTCAACCCAAACTACAAGCCCCCTGCGAACAAGTATATCCGCCCACAGCCCTCAAGACCCCCGCCCCAGAGCCGACCACCGACTGCCTCCAGTTCCACCCAAGTCAAGGAAGTCGTTCTCAATGGCGTGGCGTTCGAGTCCTCCAATCGCTCGTTGGTGCGCAAAGACCGTACGTCCTCCTCATGTCTCTCTTCACATCGGGAAAGGGTTGGTTTGTCGGGCGTCAGAGGTTGTTCAGCTTTAGCGTCAAGATATTCAAAAATGGCGAAAAACAGCACCTGGAAGTCCTCTTCTTCCCTTCAGAAGGTCCTCCGAAACCTTGGAAGCAATTGGAAATCTTCTCGAACGCTCAACGACCTTTGGCACCGACCAGCTGGCCGCCCCAACATCAACCTTCCTCGATGTGAAGATTTCTAATGCTTTGTCACTAATCCGACCCTAGTCCCCAAGCCACCCGCCTCCAAGTCCAAGCCCCCGTCTGCCGCGCCACCACCCCGGCACACAAAGCACTTCCCCGCGCCCCGCCCCCGCGTCTACAAACCGAAGTCCCGCCGCCGCGGTGGTCCCGTGAATATGACCCTCACTAACTCCCGCCGCCCATACCAGTCCGCAATCCCCGTTTTGCTCCGGGACTCCCATTGACATGCTTTGATCTGCAGAGCCCGACCTAAGCGCGCGAAATCCGACAAACCATGCCCCCGCTTCTCCACGACAGGTGCGTCACCTGCGTCGATCAAGCTTTTCTGCTTACGCTCTTTTCCACTAGGCACCTGCGCCCACGCCCGCACCTGCCCCTACACGCACGACCCCGCCACCACTGCTATCTGCTGGCCCTTCCTCAGCGGCTCCTGCCCCCTCTCCGCCGAACAGTGCGCGCTCTCCCACGACCCGACACCGGAGCGTACCCCGCTCTGCACGCACTTCCTTGCCGGTTCGTCTTGTTTCCATTTACTTGTGTCCTCGCTAACGTATTCCCCTCTCTCTCTCCTCCCTCCTTCACTCGATCATCGTACACCGGTACCAGGCGCCCGCTGCACGCGCCCCGCCTGCCCCTTCCCTCACGTCAACGTCGGCCCACGGTCGGGCGTCTGCCGCGCCTTCGCCGTCCTCGGGTACTGCAAGCTCGGGCTCGACTGTCCTCAGGCGCATGTCCGCGAATGCCCGGACTTTGCGGAGAAGGGCGAGTGTACGCGCCCCGGATGCAAGCTTCCGCATGTCATTCGGGCGAATGGGGCCAAGGGGAGGAAGATCCCGGCTACGACTACGACTACGGCCACGACTTCGACGACCTCGACTGCGGCTGCCGCCTCCATGAAGATCGATGCGACGACGCCGACAACGCCAGCCCCGACCGCGGAGGACGCGCAGCTCGGGGATGAGTTTATTTCACTGACGTTTAATGAGAGTAGCGAGGAGGACGATGACGAGTCTGATGAGGACGAGTCGGGGTCCGATTCCGATGGCGAGGAGGTTGATGAAGATGGGGAGCAAGAGGGAGGAGGAGGAGAGATGGGAGGCGGGGACTGAGTCCTGCGTCCTGAGTATGCTTTTCTCTTTCCTCGTTTCTTTTCCCCTGCTTGCTTGAGATTTTTTATATGTTTCTTATATTCTGTTCGATTTGTTTGTATAAGAAGAGCGTTTGAAATGTGATAAAAATGAATCGAATTCTGGTGTGCGTTGAATGTGAGGAATGGGATAGTTTCGAAGTGAGCGCTCAACAGCACCTGGATGACACGACACCGCCACATTGCTTCTCAGGCAATCCCACATCATATAAGCGAGAACGCCTGTCTTCTCGGTCGTCGCCCGGGCCCCGGCATAAAGCCTGGTTTACGAGACTCATCTCGCTAACGAATGACTTCTCTAACCTCCCCCTTCGCATCGAGGGTGGGCACCAACTACGCTCCTACGGATGAAGAAGTTATTGCAATCCGAGACCTCCTTGTCGAACCGTTGTCCCGTTTGAAACGCCTCGACGAGCAACTCGCCGATCTGCAGAAAGCTATCGACAAACTGACCGAGGAACGCGTCCACCTCAGTACCTATGTAGACGCGCACCAAGCCATACTCTCCCCAATCCGACGGCTACCATTCGACATCCTGCAGGAAATATTCATGGCGTGCATCCCCACGCACCGTAACTGCGTCATGAGCGCTGTCGAGGCGCCAGTTCTCCTCGGACGCGTTTGCAGCGCCTGGAGGACAATGTCCCAATCGACCCCGCGCCTCTGGGCGCGCCTTCACATTGTCGAGCCTGCGCGTTTTCAAGTTATGCCAGGGTCGAATTCCGACGCGTTTGAGGAAAAACTGGCGCAGCGCTTGGAGACCACCCGAATGTGGTTGGGCCGCTCTGGACAGTGCCCGTTATACATCTCACTGGAAGGCAGCCAGGATCTGCCTCCGCCCCACGGGCTGATGGGTAACGAGTCCACCGCAGTCTTCCCCAGCACACATCTTTTCCTGCAGGCGCTTATTCCGTTTGCTGCCCGCTGGAAACATATCAATCTATCTATACTGTGGTCGGCTCTCCAAAAGATGTCCAACCTTACCGAGAAAGACGTCCCCATGCTCACGAAGTTGGAGATAAGCCAAAGGCCGGAGCCGGAGCCTCCAACCATATCCTGGCCGTCGTTGGCGATGTTCCGCGCGTCCACCCTACGCGACTTTTCGTTCGCCGGACACGACTCCAACATCATGGACTTTCCCATACAGTGGGGAAATCTCACATCGCTCTCGCTCATGGGTCACGGCTGGGGTGTACTGACGTGTAAAGTCGCCCTGGAGGTCCTATCCAGGTGCTCGCAGATACAGGTCTGCCGGCTCCTCTTGAGCGAAGACAATTTCGGCACCCCTTCCCTGGCCGCCGCTGCAGCTGGCTCGGGCTCGATCCTTGAGCTTCCGCACCTCTATTCCCTCCACCTCACAAGTCTCGGCCTGCCACTCGCGGTCGGAAACCTCCTCAGCCGACTCTGCCTCCCCGTGTTGCACGAGCTCGAACTGCGCGGCCACTCCAACATCGGGGTCGACGACCCGACGTTTGCAACAAACCTCACTGCCTTCCTCGCGACGTCCTCGCGATTCGAGAGTCTACGCACGGACACGCAAATGTTCACCAAGCCGTCGCTTATCGAGCTTTTCCACGGGCTGCCCACGAGCATAACGCGGCTGCGCCTCACTGACCGCGCACATCCGTGGGGTCCGCCCGGCATGAATGTCGTCCTCGACGACGACGCGATCGAGGTGCTCACCCCTTCGCCCGATCGCCCGATCATTTGCCCCAACCTGCAAGAGCTGCACATCACGCGCTGCGTGTGCCCGTCGGATGCGGCGCTCAGGCGCTTCATCGTTGCGCGGATGGCCGTCCCCGATGCTGCGCTTAAGCGCGTCGAGATCCAGTTCACCCGACAGATGCAGGTGGATATCACGGCGGATATCCAGTCGTTTGTGGAC